ATCGAATTACTAAATTCTTGCACTTTTGCATGTGAAAACATAAGAAACGCATCGTTGATTGAGATCAACAATTCTATTAATGTGATCAAAATATTATAAAGTTTTTGAACTGAAGTAAAGTTGCCATTATAAGCTTAAAATACATGATGAAAGTTGCCACATTGCAGAGAAATATCGCGAAGTAAGTTATGTCGCGAAACCCATTAATTTCGGTTTTAGTCAACCATTTCAAAACCTTGTTTTGACGTAGATTTTCTATAATTCTATCAGTTTTGAGGCAATCATATACGGATCCCTTTTCTTCAGAAACAAAAAATGTCTGCAATTCCTTTTTCTGTTTGTTTTGCTTTGATTTTTTGATTTGCTTTGATTTGCTTTGATTTTGTTCCCTGAACATATCCACGCCAAACTAAGGTTACTTTTTTGCCTAATTTTAAATTTTACATCGGTACGTTCTGCTCGAATGATGGATTGATGAATGCCTTCCGAATAGTAAGATTAGTGGTACAGCATTTAAAGAAATATTGTGAGCAATTCATAAGAAAACCTTTATTGTTTTTAATTAGAGTGTCATGAAAGTAGCTATTTATATTGGTATTAAACTAGTTAAAATCCATTGCTATTTTGAAGGATATTTATTCTCTTCGTTTAACCGTAGACAAATATGTGTGTGTGTATACAATATAATTCAAGCAGTGTAATTGCTCCACCTGCCCAAGTATATAATTACATCACTTAGGATTTAGTTATATTATTTTAGTTATAATGCTATTTCGATGCAACTACTGGGTATATAAAACAGGTAATTCCAGCATCAGTGTAATCCTGTTGTAACCATTGTATGTATACACTACACAACTGAACAAACTCTCCATGTCATATTTAAGCAGTAGTAACACTGTCGTAAAAACTGTCTGCTACAATGTATACTTCAAGCAGTAATCCTATTGTAAACATTGTGTGTGTGTACACAGCATATATGAACAAAATGCATGAACACCGCGTCCAGACTTAAAGGTCCAGCATTTTATAAATGGACGCAAATTCACGAATTACTCACCGCACTTGTCCAAAAATGTTAGCATTTCAGTACTAGGGTAATCACATAGTAACCGTTGCGTATAAATAAAGTATCAGTGTAATCCCATTGTAACCTGTGAATGCTTAAATGATTAGATGTGAAAAAACTGACTGAATTTTTATCTATTTATTTTATTTTTTAAATTGTAAAATATCCAATGACCTGTATGCAACTGTAGACAACTAATGCTCAATCTGATTAAGTTTTCAGTGGTATAATTAAAAGTAAAGTACATACATTGAATGTGATTTCATTCATTGAATGTGAATACATTCATTGTATTTACACATTTAATGTGAATGCTGTACCATTAAATGTTACAATAATGCCGTAGAACACAGTTACAATAATGCCGTAGACAGGTCAAATAGTAGTGACACCACCAGAGGTAGCAAAACTTATATTGTCGGTTACAAATAAGTCGGCACCAAAACGACACCATAGGCCCCAGGAAGGAGTTCCTCATCTGAATAGCTAGAGTAAGATGCCTATACCTACTTTAATCAAGGTAAATAATAGTGGCCCTGCACTTATACCTAACACCTATACTCTTGATTTTAAGCCTTTCAGAAAAATTTTCATTCCTTCGGCACATGACAATACTGCAATCAAGTCGCATTTCCTTTCAAGTATCCATCTGCACTCAGTGTTCTTAATGTTTTGTTTTTCGGGCTATTCTTCTCTGGCTCAGCCTCAAAAAAGCTACATGCTCCAATAGGATGTTTTACCTGTGGATTCATCTGACAAGAGGACTAACTCTCTAGTGCCTCACCAGGGGCCGAGTGGTTAAGATCACTGAATAAGCGAAATGCGACTCGGGCTCAGTCTAAGACGAACAGATTGGCTGCATGGTTCATTTTTACTATTTTCTCAGGGTGTAAATCGAAAAAGAGTCAGTTTCCTAAGAGTATTCTTCACAAAGATATCCATTTCCTTACGTAAATAGCTCTCATTTGCTTTGCCGTATTCAAATAAACTGAAACTGTAACTGTAAAATTTCTATCTTTCTTTAAGAAAGGCGCATCAGTGCGAGATGTCGCAATGTTTCGTACAGTAATAATAGTTAACAAGACGCATGGTGATAAACACATAGAAAAGCAATGCCTGGAAAATTTTCGAAAGATCCTAGAGGAGGTTTTTTAATGTCAGAAGTCAAAAAACGTTTAGATACGTAGAAATAATCGTTACATTTAAAGCAAAGTACGCGATTTTTCCGTAATTCCTATAAATAATTATTCTACTACAATGCATAAGAAACCTCTTCGAATTCGTAGCTCGTGTAGCTTCGAAATTTTTATTTTCACACTTTTTAATATTTTTTTTATTAAAGCATGAACATTTTACACATATGAAATAATTTTCCACAGAAAGTATGTGTGCCAACATTGCCTGCTGGCTAATATAAAATTAAACGTGCTCTTGTTATAAGAATGTTCTTGTTTTCAAAGTAAATATGATGAAGAAGAGAATTGTCAAAATACGTCATTTTATTTTAGTCTTTATTTACTGAAAACAGCCGTTTGCCCTGCGAGCAGCCTAAAGTAGTTATTATAAGAAAGAAGAATGCATATAAGGATTTTAATACATTCAGCTAATATCACTTCAAGGTTACAATTAGTAATTAAAAATAATTAGAGAAGAAGAACAACGTTTATTGATTTTAAATTTCTGAGTTAAGGAATTTAAATTTGAAAGAAAAATCAAAATGTCTCAGGCTTTGCCGATTGGCAACACACTACGTGGGGAAGCTAAAATTACTTTATTTCGAACGCTGACAATCCATTTTTTTAACTTGCAAAATTTATTGGTTAAATGTGAAATTTATTGGTTAAATCTTGCACTTTTCCGAGTGGTAACACATTTGTTTTAAATCGCTGAGTTTATTAAATTCACCAAATATTCAATAAGATTTGCATAAAACTTGAGGAAAAGAAAAATCAAATTCGAACTTCAAAGTGCGATAAAAAATTACATGCGTTAAAAATTGGGTGGCTCTGAATTTACACAATTCTGTTTTTACACAATGCGAGGAACGTACAGACGCACATAATGCATACATATATTCATACATACTAGATGAATATGCGTTTAGACTAATATACGTGGGAATGTTATGTTTTGTAATTAGATATATCATGATTTCAATGCCTTTTTAATTAAATCAAGAAAAAGTTGAAAAATAAATTTCTTAAAAATTGCATCTATTGCTTTTAAATAAGTTATATTTTAATTAGTAACAGACAGATTCAATAGGAAAGAATTTTATGTTTTCCGGACTGGCAATCGACTCGAATGAAAAGTGAAACAAACCATTAAAGACAAATATCACAAACTCGGGTTTCAGGACTAACAGCTCTTTTAGGCTAATAATGATTTTAAGGAGTCCAAGTTGTGTCATTTCGAAATAATATTTAATATTTCTAATTAGACATCCCATGATTTAAATGAATTTTGATTTAAATCGATCAGACTTAAAGAGCAGAAAATATTTTCTTACGAATGATATTTATTACTCTTAAATTGTTTCGTTTGTTAACCAAAAACAAATTAAATCTGAAAGTTAAAAATCTAACGCAATGGAGAATACAGTGCAGTCTAACGCGTGGAAGATCAAAGTATTTTATCTCTTGCAGTGGCAACACATTTCCAGTGCCAGAAATCCTCAGCGTTTTAAATCCTCATTTTGTGATTAAAACTGAAAGATACTGCATTGATGGCTTACATTTTTCTGGATAGCAACAGGCTGGCACGGCGGAGATAGAAATATTTGATTTCGAACACTGTAGCCACTGCTTATTTTCTAATTGCGAAGTTTGTTAATCCAAAATTCATTCAATTCGTTCAAAATATGAAAAAAATAAAAGTAAATTTGAAATACAAAACCTCGGCTCAGAATTGCCCACATTCGGGTGGAGGACTACAGGTGCTCAAAACCGGGTGGCTCTAAGAGTCGCCGTTTTCTCGGAACAAAAACAAAATAAAGACAGACAGACAGATTCTTTATTATTTAAATAGTAGAGAAGATGTATCACACGTTCAGCTAGTAATTAATAATAAGTGAAATGATTCTATGTTTATTACTTTTAAATCAATTAGTTTGTTAATTAATAGCAGAATAAATTTAGAAGAAAAATTAAATATCTCACGCTTCGCTAAAAGGTAAACTGGCACGCATAGGAAATAAAAATATATTATATTGAACAGAGGTAACGCATTTCTCTTCACGAGTTCTTTTATTAAATTTGAAAGACAAATATCTTGCATTTTGCATTGCATCAATACACGTCCTTTATATTGCTGAGTTTTCTGATTAAACTTGAAAAATAAATATCTTACACTTTCCCGAATGATAACACCAAGCTTTTATATTGCTGACTTTTTAATCAAAAGTTTCTTTCATTCGCAAAAATGCGGAGCAAATTTTAAAAAATAAATTGAAAATTAAAATCTCAGCTTCAAGGTTTAATGGTCGGTGTGTGTCAAAATTGGGTGTCTCTACATGTCACAGCTTTTCCACAATGCAAGGAACATACACAGATATTCCGTATTATTTAATACTAATAGAGATAGAAGTAGAGACATATTTGTTATAATTAGAAACATTTTGTTCCGGTTGTAAAAAGTTGATGACTTAAGTTTGTTTTCTCCTTGGAAGTATCACGTTGGCACAATTCCCAGAATATTGCTTGGTAGAATACTGTTTTCTAATGGAAACGATGCTCCTCAATCCATGCAAATCGTTTGTTACACATCTTCAAAGTTTCAAGTTCACATATTTTGTGGGCTTCGAGACTTTTTCGGGAAGACATTGGCCGATGTAACTGCACATGCATCAAACGATAAATGAAATTAAATCTCATGGCATTGAAGTGACAGTTACCTTTTTCTTACTGATTGAAAAATCACTTTTTTCTTCCAGCCGTGAGCTCCAGGACCAGGTGGACGCTCTCGAACAGTCCATGTCCGACTCCAGCAACAAGCTGAGGAGTGAACTCTCTTCATTGAAATCGAGGTATCACACCGAAATCGCTGACCTCAACAGATCGGTAGAGCAAACGTCCGAGCAAGCAAGCGACCTGCAGAAGATTTGCAAGAAGCAAGCAAGCCAACTTACGGTATGCACAAAGCGCTGAAGTTTACTACTATGCCTCTTTTGTTTAGAAACAAAATAAGCTGCACAAAAGCTATGCTGTTCAAAAGAAGTGCACTGATGTGATTCAGATTTGGAACGCCAAAATTGCTCGTTTCGGCTATGTTAAAATAATCGAGTGCTAACATATTGCCGCAACCATCTTGGAGCAGTTTGGTAAATTTTATGGAAGAAAAAGAACAATTACTTTTACTGGAAAAAATTATATATTACATACATAAAATAGTATCATATACATATTTTATCTTTCTACTGCTCATTTATGGTACTTGTTCAGTATTTGTCAGTATTGTAGAATCAATATTTTGTCAACTGAGTTTTAGAAATAGCCGTTTTTCTATTTTTTCTATTGATTAGTATATATTCGTTTTAGTGCACGAACGTAATAAGCCGCTGAGTTTATTACCCAGTGGGTTTAATAAGCAGCGGATGTGCATATTTAGAAATTTAAATGAATCTGCTCTTATTCTGACATGAAAAGCATAATAATTTGGAAACATTTTTGAATGCAAGAAAATTTAAATCTTAAATAAAATCAGCGTATTATTAAACATCAGTGAATTAAAATTAATTTTTTCCTGGTAGGTTCACTCAACACATTTAAGTAAGTGGTGCTATAAATTAAAATTTAAGGCTCGTTTGATGAATAGAATTTTATGAAAATATAATAAATGTTGAAAAAACTCATTTTAAGAATAATTTGGAAAACCAAACAAATCACACTGTTAACAACTTGTTTTTAATTTTTAACTTCCCAGCACATTAAATGTTTTATGATAACTGTTCTGCGGCATTTTATCCCTTTTATTTTAGTTTTTAAAAACTCTTGCTTCCTGACTGATTTTTACAAATTAATTTTTCAACACTGAAGAAAATTTTGAAACTTTTCCAATCAAATTTTAAATTTAGCCTCTTCCGCATTAGTACGTGTGCATTAATCACCGAAACTTTCAGCACTTCTCTTGAACAAAAAAATACGTCTAGGAAAACATATAACTGTATCCACTTCTCTATACAAAAATTTTTTGTAGCTAACCTATTTTTATAAGTTTTCGTTCATGCATAGAAATAGTAAATAAATACACTTTCGAACTCAGATCTCTAAAAAGTGTGTTTGATTTTCATATAATATGGGATGCACTTCTTTTGTTTATTTACTTTTTAGGCGGGGTCACTAAAATTGGCTGTTGTTTTAATCGTTTCTTTTTCCAACAATTTTATCACACGTTCGAAAATAGAATGCTATTGATTTTTTTATTTTATGAAGCTATTATTATTATCGAATTATGAAAATACTGAAATTCATATAATATACGATAATGTTCTTCTCCTCGTATATACAGCGGTCGATTTTCGCTTCAAAAACATCAGAGAATTTCACAAACTCGGCATCGCACACATACTCGGCATTGCGCACATTGAACATTATATGTATTATATGATGCATAATGTATGTGAAAGGGACATTATATATATGAAAGGGAAGGTCAACTCAGTTGGCTCTTTATAGAAACATATCTCGCATTAGAGCGTAAAGAAAAACCAATAATATGGCTCTGGTTTCATTTGACGCCAGGGGTGCCTTCGACAATGTAAGATGACTCTCTCGGATGCGACACTTGAAAAATACTGGAATTACTAAGAATATCTATGAAATTATAGAAGATTATTTTAAAAGGCGAAAGATGGTTTTTAAGGGTCCATCTGATAATTTGAATCTGGCGTTTGACATTTATAAAGGAAGCCTCCAAGGCTCTTGCAGAGCTCCTCTGCTCTGGGGCCTATTTTTTAATGATTTACTGAAGAAAGTCACTATTTCGAGTTTTGAGATTATCTGTTTTGACGAAGATATATTGGTTATGGGAGGGAGAATATCTTGAAAAAATGGAGAAAGTATTTAAAAAAGTAGACAATGATTTGAAAGAATGGAGTGACAGAGAGAAAATGTATTTTAATAAAGAAAACATCTTGTGGACTTTTTTCCTCATAATGGGAAAAAGACTATACCCCCAAAATTGAAATTTAAGGTAAGTATCAAATTTGGTGAAAATATGAAATAGCTAGGAATTATTGTTGATAACAAATTAAATTTTACAGAACATTTTAAGCATATTCATAGAATCACAGAAAACATTTTAAAATTTTATAGGTATCGTTTTAGTGTTGCTACTTTCAATATAAAGTGTCCCCTGAGGGAGATATTTAGAAATGTGGTCATCCCTAAAATATATGGAGTCAGAGCATGGGGTTGCCGGGCAGAGGAGGTACTTCGTATTAGTGTGAAACTGGACACCCTGCAGAGAGGCTGGATGCTTCCATTACAAGAGCCTTCAGAACCGTTTCGATTGAAATTGCCTGCGTCCTTGCGCGTGTTCTGACCCTCTCGATTTTGTACAAATTATAGTACAAAATGTTTCTATTAGCTAATAAAATTATTATAGATACTGAAATTGGACCAAAAATATTTAAGAGAATCATCTTTCAACAAAAGAATAATATTATTCGCCCAGTGACATGATTTGGATTATTTTATGATCTTGATATTCCTACTGGTGGCAAAATAGTCGTTCTTACAGTTGGTTCTGGAATTGATGGGGAAGTGGGTAGCGCTGTGGAAATTTATTGTCAAGGAGTGGAGAAATTTTCATTTCTCCACACTGATTTGTATTTCTCAGCATCACCTTCAGTTTCCAGGCAGACTATACATAAGTGAATTGTAAGCGAACTGTAAATAAGTGAATTGTAAGCGAACTGTAAATAAGTGAATTGTAAGCGAACTGTAGAAAAGTCAATAGCACAAGTGACTATTATGAATGTGACAAGCAAATATGCACAGGAACTCTGCAAATATCTGAACAGCATATATGATGCACATTATACACCCAGTTGATATTGTTCAGTATAATGCATCTGAATAACCTTTTATATCTAAGTTACCACTGAGTTCTAGAGGAAACATTCTCTGTAAACTCAGAATCACAATGAATAAAATATTGCTAAAATCCTCATTCGTCACAGTCAACGTGTTGACAGGGTCTCTTTAATAACCATCGATCACAAATACCCATCTTCCGAAGTAACTTTATAAATTCCGCTACAAGTTTAATGTTCTATAGAGATTTCTGGCTGGGTCTAGCGACAAGAGAATGCTCTACCAATTGAATACAAATGCTAATAGTCATATAACAGATGGTATAGCAACTCAGCTCGTGGTAAGTAAGACAATGTTAGAATAAAACTTAAATCAATGAATTCGGTTTATCAAGCAGAAATATGTGCATTGAGAGAGGCTTCGAACTGTATTAATAAAAAATTCACAGTTCGGTATTTTATAAATATTTATACTGATGCCCTCTCTGCACTACAGGCACTCTAGCAATCAGATCATAAAAATTGACTGATTAACGAAATAAAAGACTTTAAAAAAAAAAGGCTGAAAGAAAACATATTGTTAAATTGCACCACTGTGTGAATGCACACAGTGGAATCGTCAGAAATGATAGGGCGGACACCCATGCTAAAATGGGGGGCACAGGGAGATGAGACCGATAATTTTGATATCCAAGATTCAAGAAAAAAGACCATTGCTGAAATGGAAATCTGTATTTATACAGAATAGAATATTTGCTGGGAGTCGTCTAATAATAAAAAGGACATAATAAGAAATATAAAGTTAAACAAGAAGATGGGTATTATAATTAATGTTGATATAAATTAAATACTGACTAATCATGGGCGTTTTCCGGCTTATTTTAATCGGTTCTATCTATAGAATAATCATAAATGCTTAATATAAGTTTTTGGGACCGCCAGGCACTACGTCGATGAATGTACGCTTACCCGGAGTGCAAGAGAGAACTACAGAAAGAATTTTAAGGAAGATTTTAAAAAGAACTATTCAAATTTGAAAGATTTTGCAGAGGCAATAATTAAGATTATAAATACGAATAAAGATAGAACTGGAATTCGGCACTGAGACTCAGATTTTGGACTTTGTATGCTTTTTTCTTTTATGTTTTTTTCTGGTTAGTCCCACGTTTTGGTCATATGGCCGGCTTGTGCCGACTACGAGGATCGGGGCTGTACCCTTATGATGCTGATGATATTATGTGATGCATTACTGTTTTTCTCTCCATGTGCACTGCGACCTGCTTTCGCTTAAAAACGTCGGAGAATTGCAAAAACTTTGCTTCGTGCCCAGTCTTGGTACTGCAAAAATTAAAACTGCATGTATAATATTATATGCGTTACTGTTTTTCTCCCCGTTTACGCACCAGTAAAACGATTTGTTTTTGCTTGAAAAATATCACGCAATTGCACAAACTTGATATGGCATAGTCTCGGCATTCCATAATTCAACATTGTATACATTGGATGATTAGTACTATTATATTATTATTGATACATCACTAATTCATTCTATTAATTATAGTTATTAAAGAAAAAATAACGCTGATGAAATTAAATCAGTTAGCAATAACGGTAAAGTAGGTTATTAGGATAAAATTATTATTACCTAACACGGAAAATCGTCTAATGGGAAGTTCCCCTTATTCTACTCTTAAGCTAATTTTAATTTTTGTATTTTCACGAGTCAATAATACTAGCTTCATGAAATAAGAAATTCAGTAGCTTTCATATTCAAATGTGAAATAAAATTATGGTAAAAAGAAAAAATAAATAAATAAAAGAGATAGGTTGCATACTATAGTATTACTAATTGTTTGGTTTCTAACACGGTTCTGAAAAGAAATATTAATGAGTAACACTATTACATAAATAGAGCATGATACAGTAAAAGTCGCTATAAGCATTTCGAGTTACTGGAAGCTTGGTTCTTCATATCCGATTCGATAATAAATGCAGATTATCTCACAAAAATACAAAAAAAGAATTTTTATATATTTATGAAAACGAAATAGCAAATAGTTCGAGTATAGTTCTTTATATTCGATTTTCATACCTGTGGAACTTCGCTAAAAAACGTTAATTGTACAAGAAATTGGTCGAAATTAGAAGATTTGTTCGTTATAAGGCAGGTTTATTATAGCGAGTTTCGACTAAGATTAGAAAATAGTAGTTGAAAGCTATTTAATTAAAAGAAGCCTCCTAAAACTTATCTCTTCAAAACCGGAGAGTGACTTTCTTAGTTTACAAATTTAACCTTAATGCCTTTGAGACTTTAAACCTAATGTTAAATTTGTTAAACATTTCTGGAATCAGCAAATGTTCATTTTGTTTTCAAGTCAAAATTGGGAAACTGGTTTTTGGAAGGTTAATTAGCTCTTACTCCAAAATGGTTATTAACATGTAATTTTTCTTTCCAGGAGCTGCAATCTGCTTACGACATCGCTCAAAGAAATGTAGAAGATGCTTTGCAAGAGATGGACTTATGGCAAAACAAATGCAAATCTTTGAAGAAAGAGATGGAGAGATTACGAGGGGAAGTAGAACAGGTGATACATTCTCCACAGTATTCTACAAATCAACGTTCTGTACAGAGTAATAACACAAGTGAATTTTAAAAATTATATAGAGCACATTAGTATCTAAAGACTGAGCATGAAAAAGAAAATATAATTATTATCTGAAAGTATAATTTTACTATCACGATTATTTATTCTATTATTCAGTAAAAGTTTATCGTAATCTCACCTGCAACTGAAAACGAAGGATATTTACACATTTTTAAAGCGATTTCTATAAAGAATTTTCAAAAAGTAAATTTTTTTGGAATAAAAATTTCGACTAACAGGTAATCATTTGAAATGAAAAATATCCACTTTTATATTTATTCTCTTTTCAAAATATCTCATTTAAATAATAAGCTGTGGATACAAGGACGGGTTTTATTGGGCTTTCCGAAGTAAAATATTCCTATTCCATAATGAAAAAAAAAAAATGTGAAATGCATACTATTAAGATTTCTAAGAACAAAATAAACAAGCTAACTAATCGAAAAGGAGATAACCATCAATCACTACTTCTACGTGGAAAGAAGACTCCAAACGACTATTCTAAAAAGGTACTACTGTTTTTAGTGTTTCTAAATTTTTATTCTTGGTAACAAGACAAAATCCACCGGGTAACAATGAATAAAATAATAAACTAAGATTTACGACTTAAAAACGATAAAAAAAATATTTTGTTTACCAGGTTTTTGCCGAGGTACGTGGCTCAACGCAGAACCAATTCTAGAACACTATGCGAAAACTATTTAGCTAGAGATATAGAAAATTCATTGTGATCCTCGATGAAGAACGAGTTTACCTAAATAACTGCAAAAAAAGGTCTATTTATTATCTATCAAAAATGAAGAGAAAAAAGTGTACGAATCTGGTTCCGTCAATATAAAAGAAATTTCAGTAAAGGGTTTATGATCAATGCAGGATTCTCTTATAATGGGAAATTAAAAGTAAGAAGAATGGGAAAAAATTGTTAAAATCAGCTAAATGTACTATCAAAAGAAAATTTTGCTTCCGATATTTATAGAAGAAATTCCATTTATCTACCGCAATGACTTTCAAAGAGTAAAACTTCATCAAGACAAAGAAACAAGTTATACTTCAAAAAGTGCAACTGCATTTCTTGAAAAAATAAGGAATCATGTAGTTATTGCATACCTAGCTTTTCAATGAATTCCTGCGAAGTCTCCTGAAGTTTCATCTATGGGCTATTGTGCCTTTGGTCTCTTTAAAAGAACTCTTTCTAAGGACAAATCCCCCACTAGTAATGAAATCTGGAATGTAGTGGGACAGGAAGGGAAATTATTATCCCCGGAAACGTTACGAAAAGCCTTTTTATCATGGAAATCCCGATGCAGGTTTATAGTCCAGAATAAGGCTGTCAGATAAAAACATTTAAAAAAGTACTCTTTACATTTTGAGCAATAATTAAACTGCCCCGAAATCGTTCTAAAAATGTGTAAATACTCTGTGTATAAAACTTGCTTTAAAAATTAATATTAATTAATGAAGCTTTTCTTACATTCAAGATAACTTGAACTGAAATTTGAGAAAATTTTTATACTTTGTAACATTCCTAGGCTATTCACAAGAGCAGTAGTGCATCCAACCTGTGAAAATGATTCCTGAGCTTATTTCCTCAGGTAATGTATCGTTTCCTCTTCTCTCGTTTCGTTTCTATATATGCATTCTCATTCAAAATATCAGCACTGCGAGACCTCCACTCATGAATCTAATTCATTCCTGATGCCTATTCGGGAATCAAAATGTTCGCAGACCGAGATAATTTTCACCATAGGAATTAATTTAAAATCGATTAATTCGTTCCTGGACCACAGTTAAGCGTCGACTTGACAACATTATGGGCCCTTGGGTAAACTAACATGTTGGAGCCTCTACGGCAACTTCTTACGGAAATGAAATATATATGACCGATAATATTAAGCATACCGAATAACGAGTTATCAATTTTTCGCAAATCTTTCGAAAACAGTGCGGAAATCTGCCAAAGTGGATTTTCCGAAAAACGACATGGTCGATACCAAAGCAAGTACCATTTCTTACTAAAACTGTTATATGGTTTCGTGTTAGTTCTACTCTAGTCTACAGTCTTATTCTACCTTGGTAAAATTTTGCGTAGTTCATCTTGAAACAAAATAGGAGGAAAATCACTCTGTGCCTGAGATTTCAAATGGACTACCCCCATTCCCCTAAAATGAAGCATCTTCAGTGTGCAACGCCTCCGGGCAACGCCAGATACTTCAATATTTTCATAAAATAAAATATTTAACAGCTTTCATATTCGAACGTGAGATAAAAAGGCGAGAAAAGAAAATAATTTAAAAAATAAACAAATTTAGTGTAGCTGTTTATAAATTAATAAATAATAAATAAAAGCGATAGATCGCATACTACATCATTACAACAGTAGATTCCTTTGTTCTATCATACATTTACACACTTTCCAGAGATGCATTAGTAGAGCACATTCTACAGAGACGCACTACTGGCACACCTGCTAGAGCGCAATAATAGTTTGGTGAATCTTCCATCAAAAGATCCAATATAATAAAGACTCATAAATGATGATTATTTTTACCTTCAACAGGATGGTGCTACACTATATATCTAGAGTATAAGGAATGCTTTTCAAAACGATGTTCTCCATTCGTACATTACCCGTACCAGGGCTTAATTTCTAAAATTAGAGGTGCTGGAGCTCTATGGAAGACCATCAGCAAAGAGGAACAAGAGTAAATAAATAAATAATATGACTATTACACTTATTAATAATTTTAAAATTAAATAGTTAATTATTATCAAATTAATTAATAGCTATTTAATTCATGTTTATTCATTATTATTAATCAATAATTATTATATAATTAATTAATTCTAATTTGATTTTTAATTATCAGGTCGTTAATTTAATTATTATTTATTGAAATAATTAAAGATTAAAGTAATTAAATAATTAAAATTAATTTAAATGTAAAGAGATAAATTTAATAAGCGATGCCGCAACCTTTTTATTTAGGGCTCCGGTGTGCTCCGGCTAGAATTATGATTTATTACAAAAACTAAGAAGCACTGGGCTCCGGCCTAATTTAAGCTCTTATCGTAGGGGGGGGAGTTCTTTTATCATCACAAAAATTAAATATGCTTAAAGTATAGATGATGAAAATTCAGATAATCTAAAAACAGGGGGAAACAGAAGGAAGGCTTAAGGGTAGGAGTGGAAACAAAAAATGAGAGAAATCTTGGTGAGGGAGAACGTTTTCTTTGACCGCGGCTCTCTGCTGATATAATTATACTCATCAAGCGGATGTGTGTCAGGGGGTAATGTCAGGGAGTCCTGAATCTGACTCTTAAGGATGAATCTAAAGTTGCTAGTAACGCTTTTAGCCACCACCACCCTCCGTATTTGGTTACATTAGTGGATACTATGGGAAGACGATGTATAAGACGTGCTTGAGCAGTGTATCTCAGTATTTCACTCTTATTGTACTCGCTGTCACTTAACGCACATTTAAGAACACAATTTTCCTTCCTGCGAAGATAACTAACTGTAACCATCGATAACAATACGTTAAATACGATACATGGTGAGAAATTTGCGTTCGCTCCCAAATTGGCCTTTCTAAGGGTAGGTTTCCGCATGTGAGTAAGGGACTTTACTTGAACGTCTCGTGTTGTTCTCAGGAGTGTGTATTTCTAGGGAAATAGAGTACTGCAAGATCTGCATATTGTTAAACTAAAACGTTACGAATTCCAATTTTTTTTCCTTGAAATTGTGGTTCAGTTTTATAAAAGAAGTACCGGAGCTCATCTTATTTAGGGCTCCGGTGCGCTCCGGGTAGAATTGTAATTTATCTTAAAAATTGAGAAGTACCGGAGCCGGGCTCCGGTGGACTCCGCCGCAATTTAAGCACTGCCCACCTGTATAAAGAAGTTTAAATGCCACGCTGTTAGTGACAATTGCCAAACTAATGTCGTTATGCTGCAGTGTATCCATGGGAAACGTTCACTTACGCTTGTGCAGTTCCATTAATTGCGATGGAAAGCATATTTTTAATGTAATTACTTCCTTGTACGAAGTGAAGGAAGTATTGCGTTCGCAAAAAATTCCGTTTTTCAGACTTCAACGGGAATGCCAATTTTGAAATTTCCAGAATCCATTTTTTTACTATTTTTTCCGTTACGTCTGTGCGTACGGACAGAATAAAGGAGTCTGTACTCCAAACCAGGTTGTAAAATGTTTTTTTTTTTTTTTTTTTTTTTTTTTTCGTACCGTCTGTAAGTATGTATGCATTATGATAACATAATTCAAAAAACCTGTGAGTGTTCCTTGTTACGAATTCCTTATACGCAATTTTCGTAATTCCGTTATTTCCTCGAATTTCATTAGAGATATGTTTCTCATTCAATTAACTTAGTTCACTTCGCGACAGGGAAAAAAAGCATAAAACTTTAAAAATTGAAAAATATAAATACAGTTAAAATACAGTTAAAATAGTTTTTTTAAAAAAAATTACAGTTAAAATTAGGTTTTCTGCGCAAAAACAAGCAATTTGGCCAGGGGGCAAGAAGGGAGATTTTTCGGTGCACGAAACTAAAAGTTTACTTTTGGTCCCACTCGGCAAGAAGACTTTGAGGGTGCAGAAACCGAATTCACGATTCTGCTAAGTTTCAAATGTAAACAAATATGGCTGCTATGGAAAAAAAATGAGGCTTAGCCGCACTTAAAAAACTTTTATATTGTTGATAATTCTACAACTACCATGCAGATTAAGTAAACGCATAAGAACTTTAACCGGAAGATAAGAACCACATAATTCAATCATTTTTAAAGCAAAAATGGCACAATTTACCAACATATAAGAATAAAAAAAAATGGAGCCGAGTACGGAGCCGAGTAACAGAGTGGGTGTACATATATATAGTTTTGGTGTGGCCGATTGCAACCGAAAAGGAAGGTGCACAGCTACATGTTAAAGCAGTCTTATATACAAAATTTCAACGTTCAGAGTCAACTCGTTTTTGAGCTATACGAAATACATACATACGTACGTACGTAAGTATGTATGTATCTCGCATATGCTAATAATATCTAGTTATGCACCTCTCTTTTTTACTACAGTACCAAAAGTATATACAAGTATATATATACCCACTTCCCTTACCCAGGTTTTATTTAAAACTACAAAACATTTGACTTCATTAGGACGAACATTGACCGGGCTACTTAATTTCAAAATTTAGAATTCTTTATGTTATTAAGGGAAGTCATCACTTTTGCGCAACACAAAAAGTGAAAATTTTGGCTGATTTTTCGAGTTTTAATAAATCAAATTGTTATGATCATACATATATGAAGTTTTCAGTGTGCCATCTCCATACATAGATGATTATGTTTCTTGATTTAGTTTACTAATAGTGTATAAGAATTTGTTTTATAAAGAAAAAACTAACTGTATTTTCCGAAAATTTTAAAATTTGTACTGAAGGAGAACGCGCAAACTGACACTAATACAAATATAGTTACACTAATAATTTTTACAATTTTGTGATGAAACATCATTAGGTATGAGTATTCACCTATTTAAATTTTAAAATTAAATGAAAGAATATTAACACCATTACAATAAGATCTTATAAAACAGAAAAAAGGCATTAAAAATGTTTAAGAAGTAAAATTATACAAATACTTGAAAAATAATTTTTCAAAGAAAAAGGTAAGTGCATATTTTCAGCAATATCATCATGTACTTACCCTGAAATTTTTAAATCAATAGCTATGATAGATTTTTTTAAAGAGTGCGCGCAAGTATGAAAATCCCCATTTTGAGAAAAATGGTTTTAAAGTTTAAAGCTCCAAAGTTTTCAATATATTTTCTCTCAAATAACACTAAAACAGTTTAAAACTACCCAGCTGCATACACCATACCCTCCTGTTCTGCAATATCTGTTACTGCAACAAATTTGGCTCCGTTTTCTTGCTCTGCGAGCAACTATTGTAGACATATCTTCCTTTATTTCGGCTGACTGAATACGACTTTGATCAGTGTCTGCTGCAAACTTTACTGCATTATCACCAGTTCGGTATCCAAGTTCATTCGTAGTACGTAATTGCCCAGCTTGACCGTCGTTGTAGATAATAAGTGCCTCATTCACTTCTGTCTTAAATATATTATAAACACACCCGGAATTTTTAGGACACAATTTCCAAATCAAAGCATTCAACGATTTATTTGGATTCTGTGTATGTCCTCCTAAACATGTTTTAGTAATAATGGCATGCTAAGATCTTTAATTATATCTTTGATAGCATCCATTACAGGCCGTGGAATTGAATTTTTATGTTTGCACGATTTCAGATTTCCACTTGCACTCGCTCTTTGATATGTACACCACGAATTCTTCCCTGTTGGACACTAATTGTGAGTAGGTTCTACGTCGGTTGAACATTTGGGGTAAAATATTGTCCACACTGCCTCTTGCATACCTTTTACAGAATTGCAATGCTTTTTAATAGCATTTCCATAATAAATTGTCAATTGGTTTATAATATTATCCGTAAGGCGTCCTTTTTCACTGAGAGTTTTACTGTCACTAAGTTTCTTCCCCTTCATTTCTTGCTTTCACTTTCGTAATCTAGTGCACATTCTTTTCTGAATGTGTCCGACACATTCAATTTTACCAATATACATGATGTTTATAGTAAAAGTTAAAGCAATCTAACAGCAATCTACTTTCGTAAGCAGCTGCGCGTTCAAATGTAAACAAACGTCAGGTGATGATTTAATTGCCCGATCTGGCAATATTTATCTCAGAATCATTTCCTTTATTTCAGAATTTTTAAGGTTCTAATTCGATTATCGTAATGCCGTTTGTTTTAAAAGACTCAAAAATGTCTACAGTTTCTAAATATGCAAAAAAAAAGAAGGATTTTTTGAATGGGTAAAGGTGATGACTTCCCTAACAACTTGCCTGGAAGGATCGGTTAAGTTAGAATATTTCTAGGAAATAAACTGAAATGAAGTGCATTATAAATGTGTGTAATTAAATAGACCATACACGGAAGTCATATGATGACCGAATCAGATTTCTTTTTTCGATGTGAATAAGTCTGTATATTCCAATAAATTGTTTTCCTATTACAACAATACTCGAGTACATTTTTGTTACATTCTTTCAGAACATTAAAAATGCTTTCTTAAAAGTAAGCTTTTATTTAAAACTCATAAAATAACTAATAAACGAAAACGAAAAACGTAATTTATCACACAGCTGCATGGGAGCAACACATTATATGACTCACTTTACAAAATTATTTGACCAAAATTATTTGACGAAGTTCAAATATCGGCTTCCAAATGCACATGTTCGGGTTGAGGCCTACGTTATTCAAAACTGGATGGCCCTATTTACGGTCAATTTTTCACATGCTAGGAACATTCATATTACGCATCATCAAAGCTTGGGCTGGCCTAGATAATTTTTTTTTTAAAATGACTTGTACATTTGACAATCCATTTAAATTAAGAGATTTCGTCATTTAGAAGCCCTCACGTTTGTTATTTGTGATATTATATTGTAGATGAATTCTGTAAATATAATTCTTTAATCTATTAATCCCATTAAACTATATGAATTTTTCTCTTTTTAGTGCACTAATAGTCATATTTATTTTAAATAAAACCTTATTGTATAAAAACCTTTTATATTTTAATTGCATTGTATTAGAGTTAAAACTGACTTCAATTATGCAAAAAGTTTAAAAATTTTCCAAATGCATTCTTTTTTTTTTTTTTTTTCCTCATTTCAGATATTCAAGAACTGAGTGCCAAAACCTAACTTCCTTGTAGATGTGTTGTTCGACCGATGTAGAAAGCAGGCAAAACTACGAAAGGCCACGAAAGCAAAATTTTTTTTTTTTTTTTTTTTTAAGCTTCAAATATCACAATGGATAATACTGTTATTGGGTCAATAAACACTCAATAGTTTTCTATTTATTTTCCAGCTGTGTGCGTGTTTTTCTTTACATAGTAGATACCCTCATATCGAACACTTTTTGATAACGATTCTTTAACGTTTTAAAATTTAATAGAAATTGTGAGAAATTGTCCTCAAATATTTTGATTGCTATAGCAATATTTTTGAAGTAAATACTATAAATTTTGAGCTTATGATAGTAATTATAATCAAAATTTAAAATTTTCCTTTCCCGTAATCTTTTCCAAAGAATTTAGTTTTAGTAATTTGAATTTGAAACCTGTTCTTTCTCCTTTCATAAAAATTGGTGGTTTCTCGAGATAAATACAAAAATATATAGAAGTGCATTTTAGAAAGCTACATTAAATAAAAATAAGCGATAGAATATCTAACTAATACACGAATTGTCCTATTTAATTCCGCACTAACCGTTTGTACTACTAACAGGTTAATGCAGTAATTATAACATATATATGCATACATAATGTATATATATATATGTGTGTGTATATAAAATATCTGATAGGTTTCAGATATTAATGGTCGTCCAAAAGGGTTCGCTAAAATTTTTTACGCTTTCACTGAGATTGCAGTCTATCAATCTGCTCTTGCACTCCTCCCTTTTTTATTTTTTTGTCTTTTTAACTTTATCATTAAACATCGCTTTCTTCGTACTTATGCTATATAGCAGTTAAACAACAAAATTACAAAATTTTTAAATGCTGCATATCAGCACATGTTTAGAATTTCTTATGCAGTGTTAAGTGTTGGCATACATTTTATTCTTTTCTCAGTTTATCATATCAAAGTTAAGTTTTCTTAGTAAAAGAGCTATCAAATTTATTTTTGTCTTTTTATTATTAATTTTTTTGTTAACTTTATTTATTATATATTGCATTCTTCACACTTACGCCTCATAAAATTCAATTCAACGTCAAAATCTCAAAATCTTTAAAAACAGCATATCCGTAGAATTGCTAATAGTATTTTGAAGGTTGCCTTACATATTTCTATATTCGCTATATTATTTCTTTAAAAACTAGCCGCATCATAATAAGAAAATGTATAGAATGATTTTAATGAGTCCAGCTAGTAAAAAATATTGAATATTTCTAATCTCATGATTTTAATACATATGATTTTAATACATATTTGTTTCAATCAATCACATTGAAAAGTAGAAAAATATATTCTTAAGAACTTAGTTTATTACTCAGTATCCTCCCTGAATAAATTTGACAGTATCTTTGGCATACAGGCCAGGCGCGTGGAAGATATAAATGTTTTATTTCCTGCCGCGGTATTGCTTTCATGCTGCCGAGTTTGTTAATTAAAATTGAAAGTTAAATATCTTACATTTTCCCCTGGCAACCCTCTCGTGCCCTGATGACAGTGTTGCCACTTTTTACTTTCAGATCGTTGAGTTTGTTAATCAAAAATTCATTCGAGTTTTACAAAATATGAAATAAATCATAAACAAATACGAAGTTCAAATATCGGCTTCCAAATGCACATGTTCGGGTTGAGGCCTACGTTATTCAAAACTGGATGGCCCTATTTACGGTCAATTTTTCACATGCTAGGAACATTCATACACACATGCAGACTCCTCATTATTTAATTTCTTTAAAAAATAATACAGGGTGATAATATTTGGTGAAACAATTTGAAAAGTAATACTCCGCTTATAATGAATCAACGGAAAATCCTATTTCGAGACAAACAGCCGTATTTGAGCTAATAATGAATATAAAGAGTTTAGTTATTAGCATTTCATAAGAACATTTAATATTTCTAATTAGTCATCGCTTGATATAATGGTAATTTTATTAATAGAAAAACCATTCTTAAGAACTATGTTGATTGCTTTTGAATTGCTTGGTTTATTAATCAGTAACAGAGGAATAAAATTCAGAAGTTAAATATCTCATGTGCAACAAGTAGACGCGTCTTAGATAAAGGTGCTTTATTTTAGGCAGTGGCAAAGCATTACTTTACGATTCCTTGCCAATTCGGTTTAATTTACCTTGTCAAACTAAGAGAGCCTTAACCTTTCGTGCTAAGGAACGTGAGGCAGTGTTAGGAAAATGAAACACGTAAATCCTGTGCTGCCCAGCATTTTTGGTCAGAGCCCGGCATTTTGGCTAATCTTAAGAACTATGTTGATTGCTTTTGAATTGCTTGGTTTATTAATCAGTAACAGAGGAATAAAATTCAGAAGTTAAATATCTCATGTGCAATAAGTAGACGCGTCTTAGATAAAGGTGCTTTATTTTAGGCAGTGGCAAAGAAAAATGGCCCATTTTCCATTTTTCTGTAGCCAAAATTATTCGAAAAACGTCTTTGGTTGGCGAAGTAGATTTTCCAGATTTCATTTCACTTTCATAAATACTTTTTAGTTATAATTAAATATCCCAACAACATTTACCTTTAGCTTTTAGAACACCGGCGGCCGAACGGTAAAGTTGCTGAACGCTAGTAGTTCGGTCCGAGGTTCGAATCCCACGACCGGGCTGGCTGCATGGACGTTTTCGTGATTTTCCCCATGTGTAACGTGTATACGAGCCAGTTTCCGTCAGAAAATCCTCCACGAAGGCATTCCTCTCCTTAGGCCGATAGCCCTCCAGGCTTTGCAGTAATCTCATAAAAAGAAAAACAAAAGAAAAAAAAACCCTCAGCTTTTAAAGAAATTATTTCAGAGCTGTTTACTTTTTTTTTTTTCAATATATAGAACCAGAAGATTGAATTCCTTCCTCTGATTCTTATCGCCTTATCTTATTACTGGCTTCTCTTTCGGCATTAAGGCATCTGCACCTGATAAGAAAGTTATACATTTAAACCTTCGAAACTAGTCCTGCAAATTTATGAATATTGCGCTGATTCTTATTGCTTTAACCCCTCCGTTAAAATATTAATAACTGGAGCGAATATAGCTCTCAGAAATTCAGAAAATTTCCCGAGGTCCCGATAGCTATAAATCCGCTTTGTTACTAAAGGTGCCGGAAATTTTATGTAATTCGGTGTATGCTCCTCAAGTCAGAAGGTATCATAGAGGTGCTGGCACCTTGATCAAGAATGATTTCTCCAAGTTGTAAATTGAATTTTGTAATGGTACCGGTACTTTTATGAGAGGATTTTGCAGAAAATCTTAATAAAAATTCTCTGAAAGTGTCCCCATTTCAGAGAAAGTTGCTTCCTTCATGGCATAAGCGGAACTTAATTTTAATTGTACCGGTTTCATAAGAGTGCGAGCGCCTTTATGCCAGGGTACTTTGACAAACAATGGGCAGCTTGGGTAAACGTGTGCCACCTTTCTGATGGAGATTTCGCCAAAACAAAACCATCCGAAAAGTACGGCACTTCGATGAAAGTTGCTTCGTCGAAGTTCTAATCTGAACTTCATAAGATGCCGGACACTCCTAATGTCTTCATGTCTCCATGTTCTAGCTTGAACATGGAGTCCGCACATTAATTCAAATTGCCGACTATTCGCTTAGATCTTCGAAGGAACGTCCCGAAATCTTGATGAATGTTGCATCCTTCATGGTATTATACTGAACTTCTGTCGGGCACCTATGTTTCTTAACGTTGGCGATTGTTCACTTAGATCTTCGAAGGAAAGTCCCGGAAGCGTATTTCCAAACCCTACCCCACTTTTCGAAT